GACAATTTATTCAACACACTTTTTAATTTATAAAACAGAATGTTGATTGCGATAATCAAATCTGCAGAAAATGAAATCATGCATTTTATTGAATAGTAGTAATATAAAATATTTTATTATTACTACCAAATGGAAAGTAAAAAATAGTTAATTTTGCACTATTAATTATGATCATATGAATTCTTTTTATACATATATTTTTTCAATGAACTTTTTAAATGATAATATTGACAATATAGACTTTGCTATAATAATTATATAGACTGTTAATTTGTTTATTTACTTCATTATGTTTTTTTTTTATTCATTCATCTTATTATGTGTATAGTCTGACTTTATAAATTATATGTCATTTAAATGTATCTATACTACTAATTTATAAGGTTTACCATTTGGGGGAGCTAAATTTTTATTTTAATTATGAAACTAATCTTTCTTATCATTTTGCAGCTATATGTTTGATGGAGTATGACTGGAAATTAAATTACAGAAAAAAAAAAATAATTTCATTTTTTATATTGTAATGTAACATGATCTGTATTATAATGTTGTATTTGTTACATTTATTAATATTTTTTATAACTTTAATTGTTTATTCAATTCATAATGGAATAAAAAATAATAATATATAATTTCTGCACAACAATAATGATTGCCACGTTTATATATATAAATGAGAATAAGAAACATAAATGTGGGATTAACTAAAAAAAATCTTTTTAATTTAGCCATTAACTAACTAAGTTTAACTAAAAAAACCTTCTTAAATGTGGGATTAATGAGTAAATAATTAAAAAATGTAACTCCTTTTGGAGGGAAAGTGAAAATGTTTTTATTAAATGTTTTATTAAATAGGATTAGCTAGTAATTATATATATATATATATATATATATATATATATATATATATATATAAACTTGATTTTGTAAAAGTAAAAATAAAGTTTTACATGAAGTGGTGCATTGAAGATTAAAGAAGAAGGTTTATGTAATGGAGGTTTAGACATCCCATATCCAAAAGTTCATTATTAGCTCAATTTGCAGTAACTATTACACCAAACAGTAATCCATCTATAATCGAAAACTTATAGGAATATTCTCTGATTATTTTCTTTTACATTAAGTTTTTATAACTTTTTATATTACTCACATATTTTATAATTTTACAAATTCAACCATACTATTATTTTAAATTCGATTAGAAATTCAGTAATAAAATATTATAAAGTTATAATTTATAAATAAAAAATTGGAGATGGCCTAGCTATTTATTTATCTATTCTTTAAAATTTGTGGTCTAGCAAAAATGTTTTGATCTTATTGTAGTATATGTTAGGTTTTCTTTTATTATCTTTTATATACTTTTTTACAGTTCTTGTCATAGTTATTTCTGCAAGCAAAATAAAATTATCACAAACAATATGTATATTTTACACAGTTATTGTAAATAATATAAATTAAATAATAAATATGCTATTACTTATACTAAACATTATATTATATAATTTTCATGAAATTAAGTTTTTTTAGTATGTTATAATTAAACAATAAAATAGAAAAAAATAGTTTTCATAAACTTCATTTTGTCATTTTGTAAAAGAGAAATGACCAAATAGTAAAATAAAAATGAAATGCAAAATTTGCATATAGACGCAAATTTTCTTTAATGTGAGGAGAGAAAACGAGATGAACGAATTTTGCGATCCATTTTGCCGCTCGGTTGGAGTGATTTCTCCAACAAAATTTGCATTTTCCAGCTCGGTTGGAGAAGGTATTAAAGTTTCTTTAATAATAATAATAAAAGAAAAGGTTATGGTAACAATTGTTAAGAAGAAAGAATTATACTTTTGGATCTCATTTTACTAATTTGTGATATTATTTTAAATAATGTAGAGAAATTAACATAGAAATAAATCATACTCACGTCAGTACAATATTTTAAATTTTGGTTAAATGATGTTATAAATTACAATCATATCATATATACAAAATATTTTATTAAAATAATAATGTTTATATTTACTCATTGAATTTAGACATAAGTTTTTAAATCATAATGAAGACTTAATCAATTGTTTACACAAGTAACGACATTTTTAGTTTTATTTTTATTTTATTTACACTTATTTTTATCTTTTTATTTTTTCACTAATCCAATCATCCTGATTTTATATTTTATTTGCATTATAGATTACTAGTGTGGTACCCTTGCGATGCACGAGCTAGTTTTATTAAAGTAAACAGTTAAATTTGGATGATTGAAAGAACGTAAAATACATATATTGAAATGAAACACTATGTAACGTTATATATTATTATACACATCATTGTACACAAAATTATTTGTTTGGGTTTTTTTGGTACATCGTCTATCGCCACAAATTATATTAAGATTGTAGATAGTCTTAAATAAATCGATTAAATTATTTAGCAGAATATATACGATATTCTGTAAGTGTATGAAATCATTATTTATTTTGTAAGTGTATTCAATCAATTTCAAATTTGTATTCTAGATAATTAAACAAAACCCAAATTTTTAAGATGTTACAATCCGATTTCATTTTGAATTCAAATTAATATTATATGATTTTGTTTTATGTTTAAAAAAGTCCGAATTAAAGAAAGTAGTAATCAAATGATAAAAGATTTTTAAATTTTAATTTGAAATTTGGTTCGATTTTATGTAATCTGATTTTTTTTTAATAAACATGATCTGCTACAATCAGGTAAAGATACATGTTATAGTGTTTTGTCTAATTCAAAATTCTCGATTGTATGGTAAACAGTTTTTTTTAATAAAAAAATGAAAGAATTTTGACTTTTACAAAATTGTCATGCCGACTATGAAATCCGATTTTTATAATAAATAATTGATTTGTTGCAATTAATAAAAGATATATGTGATAGTATTTTGCCTAATTCGATATTTTTGATTTTATTTTAATCAGTTTTTTAATAAAAATAGAGAAAGAAAATTGACTTTTGCCTCAGTCGAAATTTACCTAAATTAAATCCACAAAATATATAAATTCAGGGTGCATATTTAAAAAGAATAAAATTGTTGTACCATATCAAAACACTTTAGTTAGCAAAAAATTTATGGTATGTAATATTGTTTCTTTAAGGTAGCACGATTTTTTGAAAGAAAAGTAACAAATACCATAATTTTAGGGTAGCGTTTAATGCTGATTTTTTTTTTAAAAAAGAAGTTACTAAGTATGAAATGTGATTAATGCTAATTGAGATTTGACCAGAATTTGACCTATTATTTTTAAAAAACGGTAGTAATTCTTTATATATATATATATATATTTTACTATTTTTTTTTTCACATAAAAAGTCTAAAATCTCACTCACGTGACAGTTTTTGGATGTTTCAAATAAACTCCCACTCTCATCACAAGACACGTCATCGATTCTTATCCACTTTCAAATCCTTCTCCCAACCTTTAGATCCTGAACCCCTCCCCTCGGCGCACAGATCGGCGCCACGTGTCAACCAAATCGAGCGGGAAAACTCATGTTTCAAATTTTCAAAAATAATTTGCTTCCACCATACTCAAACCGTGATTCTCTTGGCGGTCCCTGCTATGGCGATAAGATTTCTGGCTACAGAGATGCAGTGCAACATCAATTAGATAAATTAATTACCCTTTTTTTTTGGGTGATTTTTAATTTTTTTTTTCCTAAGTTAATGCAAATATGGATCTCCGTAGCTTGAAACGCAGAGAGTTGCAGGCGCTATGCAAGAAGCACAAAATCCCTGCAAATTTATCGAACTTGGAGATGGTGAAAAGGCTTGCGGATTTTTTCGAGGTAATTAATGCTCTATGTGGGCTCTGTAATTTTTCGTTTCTTTCTTTCGATTTTGAATAATGTCAGAGTAAATTGTTTGTTTGTTGTTCAAATCAGGAAAAGGGACAAGTGAATGAGCAGGAAGAAAATGTGAGTGAAATCGAGTCTATCGATGTGGTTAGGGACAGAGTAGTGAAGAAGGTAAGGTTTAGTCCGGAGCACGAACTGATTGAGTTCACGAGGTCTCATGGAATGAAACAAAGACATAGAAGGAGTTTTGTTTCAGTTAAAGAAAGTGCTTCATCTGTTGAACACGGTGATATTGGGCATATGGGCAGCCAATGCGTGAATGGAAACGGTAGAGTTACACGCTCCAGAGGGTCGACATTGTTGGAGGGACAACAAGTGAACGAGAAGAAGAGAGGGAGGAAAGGCGTAAAATGTAATGAACAGATAAATAACGGTTCGGTTGTAGAAAGTGTTAATGAGGATAAGTTGGGAGAGGGTAATGCTGAGAGCTCAAGAAGGGTTCTGAGGACGAGACGGCATAAATTAGCCGAGGACGTGGAGAATGCACAGAAAGTAGGAAAGCCAAAAAATAAAATGGGAAATGGTAAAGCTCTCGATGATGCCAGTGATGAAAAATCAGTCAAGGAAAATGTGGAGGGCCCTGGTAGACTTGCTAGGTCTAAAAGGCAGAAATTGTCAGGGGCTTCTGGAAAGAATACTGTGATAGTCGAAAGTGTTGCGGAAACTATTGGGAATAGTGTGCTTCTAGACAGTGCTGAACTTGATGATGACAAAGTGCTTACAAGATGTTTTTCCAGGAAAAGAGGGGTTATGGCGGGTTGTGAGGATATGAAAACTGATGGGAAAAATGGGGATGAAATCCTGGAGAACAGGAAAATGTCAGAAGCGCAGAATATGATTGAGCCTCAAATTTTGTTGAGGAGATCTAGGAGGAATGTGGATAAAGTTGGTGCCAGTGTAGGTGAAATTCGTATGGCAGAACCCATTAAACCAGAAGTTCGAAGAAGTAAGAGGAGAGAATCTGTGATTCCACCGCATGAAAATGCAAGAAACAGTGAGCTTACAGTAGAAACCAAGAAAACAAAGCAGCCGAGAAGTTCAGCACCACAATTAGTAATTGCTGGCAGGGTTTCAAAAAATGAAAAGGAGGTGCCCCAGCCTTCTGAAGTTATGAGGAGGTCAAGGCGTAAAGTAGTTGAGACTTGTGAAACAGAAAATCACTTAACTGAAGAGTATCCAGTGGAGAATGGAAGTTCTTCGGTTGAGAAGAATATGGGAAGGTCAAGAAGGATAGCCTCTATCAGTAATTCGGTGGGAATTAAAGATGACACAAGCAAAGGCCCTGTTATTCCACAAAAGAATGAAGCGAGAAAGCGCAAAAAAGGGCCTAGCTTGGAAGCAGGTGCTGTGAAGACCACTAAACCGAGGTCTCGTAAATTGCCTGTGAAAGAAAGTAGAAACGAGAAAACTGTCTCTATTTTGGAAAATCAGCTGTGTTCGCCTGATGGAGCGGATAGTATGAGGGACTCAAGCTCAAGGGGTGAAATGATAAACACAAACATGACTAGCCATGTGAGTCAGATGTCGGGCAGAAGTACTCGCATAGAGAAATCTTCTGCAGGAAGTGCTAAAAATTCCCATGTGGAAATTAGTGATGGGAATAAGTCCGCAAACTCCAAAGATTCTGGAAAACAAACTTCTGCAAGCAATATTAAGGATAATGCAGAAAAGTTTGATTCTTTGGAGTGTGATGTCATAATTGAAAAAACTGCCACAAGCATGGAAAGGTATCAATCTGAAGCTCAGTTGTCCGGCCAAATCAAGGGTTCCAGCTGCTTGAACATGACTAGTGGTCAAATGCTGCAGGAAGGCTCAATTGTTTCTAGGAATGAAGGTTATGCGGAAATCAGTCCCTCCACAGATAATGTCTTACTCAGGAATCAAACTGATGTCAACAGTAAGATTATTTTCTTGAAATTATTTTCTAATTTGTTTAGACAGTTTAACAAAACATATGATTAATTTTTCTTGAATAATTTGCAGATAGTCTAGAAGTGATTGAGGCTGAAGCAGACAAGCACACAACACCAGGTTCTGTTGTGGTTGATCATGCTGGTGAAGTTGAAGGGATTTATGTTGAAAAGAATCTGGAATCTTTTGGAAATGGAGAAATGAATTTGATTAGTCCTCCAATTGCATACTTAGAAGACAATAAGCAGCATATAGATGCATCCAACAGAAGTTACAAAAGTAATAATGAAGACGGATCTTCAAAAGCTGGAGAAGTTGGTCCTTCAGATTCCTGTGGTGTGTAATTGTATTGTAATTTGTATATATCTTTTTTCCTTTTCTCCATCTTTTATAAAATTTGTCCTTACTAATGCTTCCGTGTTGTAATTGGTGTAGTATCAGGGAGATGCATAGATCATATTCAATCAAAGTTAGCAATACAAGTGAAGGATCCGTCATCAAGCAAGTCGAGAAGCATCGAGAGTAACCATGCAGAAACTGAAAAAAGTGGATGCTTGCAGGGTAATTTAACTGCAGAAATTGAAGATGATGAATTTTCTGTGTCTCATCTATTTGGTAGTGAAAGAAGTGCTACGATCAACCTAGAAGATGGAGGAATAGGTTCAGGTGAATTTTCAGCCATGGAATCTGATGAGCGAGACATAGATAAAGAATCCTTGGTTGTATCCCCCATGACCACCTGTGTAGAGTTACCTAGTATTTGTATACAGAGAGACGTTGAGGCTGATCATACAGCTAAAACTGATGATGTTGGGTCCCCTAACTCTCACAACAGAAAATGTAATGAAGACAAGGAAGTTATCATTTCTGATATTCTTTGTGTTGAAAGAAGAGATACGATCTTGCCACAAGATGGTGACATCATTTGCAATGAAATGTCCATTGGGGAATCTGTTGATAAAGGACATGAAAATGAGTTGAGTGGCTGTGAAGCCAAGGCAGATCAAATAGCTGAAGGAGATGAACCCTGTCTCTGTAAGGATAATCAATCAGAACCAGCTGAAAATAATGACGGAGGGTGCTTAGAAAACAACAAGTACGAAAGAGATGACGGCTTTGAGTTTCGTCTTTCTACTTTATTTGACAGTGGAAAAATTGTTAGGGATACACCACAAGCTAGGGGGATCATGCCTGTTGAACAAGTGGTCTTAGATGAAGTTCCTGTAGCATCAACCACGATGAACGAAGTTAAAATCAATTCTGGTTGCTTGAGTTTAAAGGAAATAGATCCGCAACCAATCAGTTCTTCTCTATCTCTAGGTAAACAATTAAATTTGGGTTTTGCTTATTTTGTTTCAATTTTGTATAGGGTTCAATTTTGAATATTTCATCTATCATAAAGTGAATAACTTTTTTTTTTTTATGTATTTATTTTAATCCAGAGGTCGATGATAGAGCTTATTTATGATATTTACTGTTTTGAGTTTATTCTATGATTTTTAGGTAGCGGGCAAATAATATCTGAACCGTGTGAAATCATTGACAAAGAAGCTGATTGTGCTCTGGTTTTGGAGGAAGGTGTATGTTCTCTTGGAAATAATATATGTGGTGATGAATTGTTGGTGCATGAGAAGAGTATATGTGATAGGAACCCTGAAATAGGCAGTCCACCGGATGCGCATACCATGGAATATATACCTAAAATAGGTACTTTAGAAACCTTCTATTTTATTTTAAGGTGACATCAACAATTTATTTTATTCATTATGTCCTGCTTATTTTGCTGCAGAAGAGCAACTAAAAGGTCTACCGGTTGTGCCTACTGCTATTAATGAAACAAATGAAGATGGTTAGTGTGTATACTCACTCATTTATGAAAAATATAATGTATTTTACTCGTTGATTGTTCTTTGTGTATTATATCTCTGATGATTGATTTTGGACGCATCTATTTTATAGCAGTCAATGATGAGATTTTTGGATACACTAAAGATGTGGCTGCAGATGCATGTGTTGCCAATGATGGTACTGCTAGCAAACTATTGGCTGAAAGTGTGTGTGAAATGGAATTTCATCACGCGGAGAATACAGCTAAAACTGATTATGGTGGCTCCCCTAACTCTCACAACAAAAAATGTGATGAAGAATTTGTCATTTCTGATATTCTTGGTGTTGAAAGAAAAGATATGATCTTGCCACAAGATGGGGATATCATTTATGATGAAATGTCCATTGAGGATTCTGATGATAAAGGACTCGAAATTGAGTTGATCGGTTGTGAGGCTGAGGCAGATCAAATAGCTGAAGGAGATGAACCCTGTGTCTGTAAGGATAATCAGTCTGAACCATCTGAAAACAGAAGGTGCTTAGCAAACAACAAGTACGAAAGAGATGACAACTGGGAGTTTGGTCTTTCTAGTTTATTTGACAGTGGAAAAAATGTTACGGATACACCACAAGCTAGGGGGATAATGTTTGTTGAACGAATGGTTTTAGATGAAGTTCCTGCAGCATCAACCACGATTGACGAAGTTAAAATCAATTCTGGTAGCTTGAGTTTAAAGGAAATAGGTCCGCAACCAATCAGTTCTTCTGTATCTCCAGGTGAACAATTTCATTTGGGTTTTGCTTATTTTGTTCAATTTTAAGGGTTCCTTTTTGAATATTTCATTTATCATAAAATGAACCTTTTTTTATTTAATTTATATATTTATTTTTTTTAATCCAGAGGTCGATGATAGAGCTTTATATGTATTAATATTTACTGTTTTGAGTTTATTCTATGATTTTAGGTAGCGGGCAAATAATTTCTGAACCGTGTGAAATCATTGACAAAGAATCTGATTGTGCTTTGATTTTGGAGAAAGGTGTATGTTCTTTTGGAAATAATATATGTGGAGATGAAATGTCGGTGCATGAGAAGAGTGTATGTGATACGAACCCTGCAATTGTCGGTCCACGGGATGCGCATACAAAGGAATATATGCCTAAAAGAGGTACTTTGGAAACCTTCTATTTTATTTTAAGGTGACACCCACGATTAAATTTATTCATTATGTCCTGCTTATTTTGTTTCAGAACAGCAACTAAAAAGTCTACCAGTCGTGCCTACTGCTATTAATGAAACAAATGAAGGCGGTTAGTGTGTATACTCACTCTCATATATGAAAAATATAATGTATTTTACATGGTGTTGACTGTTCTTTGTGTTTTATATCTCTGATGATTGATTTTAGATGCATCTATTTTATAGCAGTCGATGATGAGGTTTGTGCCTATGCTAAAAATGTGGCTGCAGATGCACGTGTTGCCAATGATGCTACTCCTAGCAAACTATTGGCTGAAAGTGTTAGTGAACTGGAATTTCATCAGGCGGAGAATACTGAACAACAGTCCGAGAACCTGCACGAAAATCATACGATTTCAGATGTTGGTGAAAAACCAAGTGATGTGGTATCCACCAGCCAAAGATGGGCAGGTTAGTTTAGATGATACTGAACTTCACTACATACGTTTCTATATACTAGTAAAGTGAACGTGCGATGCACGTGGTGACGAATATTTTTGGCCGATTAAGTTTAACAGATCAATTTATTAATTTATTCCACATACGATTACAGTAACAAAAATATAAATGTGAACAAATAAGCTCATAATGCATTTTTTTCTCAAAAATAACATAATGATGTTGTAAATTTAAATGACATATTACAACTCCAACAAAAAATATACGAAAAATGAGTCCTTAATAAAATAAAACATTAAATAATTAAATAAGGTCCTACTGTAAGTTACAGATGCATGTATTCTTTTATTTATTTATGTTAGATTGTAGACTGATTTTTCTTTCATTTTGGTATTGACGTTCTCATAATAAACATCCATACTCGTTGACAGCAATACATCAATAGTATTACAAAATTCTTCTTAATTTATTTTGACAAACACCTGCTTTATTAAACAGTTAGAAATATTTTAGCCTTGGTCAAATTTCATGTTTCTATGAT